TTGCCAGGCTTTCCTTTAAAAGGGGGGCAAAAAGATCAAACATCCAGGCCAGGGGAAAAACCTTGGGTACCACAGCCATTTCAAGGGGAGAGGTTTTTTAGTCCCAGGAAAAAAAAAAACTGGGGGAAAAAGGCAGAAATCGTACACCAAACCCGGGTCATTCCGGGAGTGGAACCACGGGCGATGGCCCCATCCAAACCAACAATACAGATACTAATCCCGGAAAAAAAATCCCCCCCCAGTCCCAAACAATACCACCGCCCGATAACTTCTTTTTTGCAAATATACGGGGGTCTAAACCCAGAAAAAAACCCAAAAAAATCCCCTTTCACCCCGGGGGGGAACGGGCTTGCAGGGGCAAAGGCAATTTTTCGCGGCTTTCACTGAGCCCCCCAATAAAGGGATCACTTGGACAACAAATTTAAGGGATCCCAGGGTTACAACCTATACAGATGTGACAGAGTGAACGGGAAAAAGGGGGGGGGGGTTGGGGCCTGTACTTTGGGCAGGCCCATTTTTTTTGCACAGAACTGTTTAATGCCTCAAATGATAGTGGGAATTTTGGGCAGTAAAGGGCCCGAAAACCCAAAAACCCTTTGTCATTGGGGGTTTGGTTCTAAACCCTCCGGATGCAAAAATCCCAGAAATTCCCGGGGAACAGCTTTTAAAAATGCCACTTTTGGGGAAAATCTTCCAGCTCCTCAAAAAAACCCCTTGCTCCGGGGGGGATTTAAAATTTAAGGCACTAAAAGGGGGAAAATATAGCAAATAAATTTTTTGCAGTAATAAAACCAGGAGGCAGCTCTGATAAAAAACTCACACTACACGAGTTTTTAAAATTTCTCTGCACAAAATTAAATTTTAAAACCCAGCAAAAAATGACCCTTTCTAGACTGGAAAAAATACACTGGGACCTCATCTTCACAAACAATGATGACTGATAGAAATGTCCCCATATAAAAAAAACAATATACTCAGATCAAACAAAATTTGGGGTTCGACTTTAAATGGATGGGGGCCTGACCGACAAAATAGATAGTCCGAGGGAGCATTCCCCAAAATTAAACCCTTCAATAAAAAAACTTAAAGTGGGCCCAAGGGAAAACCCAAGTCCTAACCGTATAAGCGGGGAAGTATACAAAGGGCAACACAGCCCCCAAACTTATCCCTTAAACGGGATTAACTCGGTGGCACTCGATGTATCCCAAAAAGGCAAAATTCCTCAAAGAAAAAGGAGGATTTAGATGAAAAATAGAAAGAGACAGGCGCCCCCTTTTTCGGGCGCCGGAAAAAAAATTTAAAAAAGCGGTTTTAAAAAAGGTCAATATATCAAAAATTGCCCCGGGGAAAGGGCACTGGTCAGAGAAATGGGCAAGCATCAAAAACCTTAACAAAAAAAAACCCTTTAGGAGTCGGAAATTCGCGGGAAAAAACCCTTAAAAAGCCATAAATGAAACCCGAAAGAAACCCAAAGAAATTTTCTCCTATGCCAAATAAAAATTTTCAGAAAAACGTCCAGTTTTGGGGGCCCCTACTTAAACAAGATGGGTCCTACACGGGATGACAGCAAGGAAATGAGTGAGCTACTCAAGTCCCAATATGACTCAGTTTTTAGAAAAACCGCTAACCAGATGAGAGTCAAAAATTTAAAATTTAATTTTTTATGAGGGGAGCCCCAAAAATTTATTAACACAACCTATCCCCATTTTTATCCTTACGCCCAAAAGACCTTTTTGAACCCGGCGATAAATGACAAAGCCCAATTTCACTCTGCCCCCGGGCCAGATCATGGAAATCTGTGTTCATCAGAACTGCAAAAAAGCCCCCATCACGAGCCTTTTCCATTTCCCATGGAGGAGGGAGCATGGAAACGGGGGGCGTCCCTCAGTTACTTTAAAAAAAACAGACATAGCCCACTCCACAAAGGGGGCAGTTTTTGCAAAGCAAAGAACTACAGGGCCAAAAGCACTAACATCCCCCTACATAAAAAACTTTGAAAGGGTCCCAAGAAAAACAAGATCACCCCCCACTAGAAACCCATTTAGTTTCACAACCAAGGGGAAATGGGTTTAGAACAGGGCGCTCCTGTCCCGTCTCAACTACTGGATTTATACGCAAGGTCCTAAATTTCACTAGAAGACAAAAAGAATGCAGATGTAATAAAATACGGGCTTTGCAAAAGCCTTTTTGAAAAGTTGACCATGGCTTTAAAAGCGCCAAAATTGCCCCCCTAAAGGAATAACAGGAAAAATTTGGGCGTTGGGGCTTAATTTTTCCTTTTTTTTACAAAAAGAACACAGGATGGCGTCAAAAGAAATAAAGTCCGAGGCAGCTACGGGGTTTAAAAAGCTCTTTTTCCCCAAGGGGACAGTTTTCTAGCCCCATATTTTTCCTCATCCCCATAAACCCCACCCTGGGCAAGGATGTCAAACCACACACCGTGTCTTCCTTTTCAGATGACACCCGAATCTGCATGACAGTGTCTTCCATTGCAGACACTGCAAGGCTCCAGGCGGACATCAACCAAATCTTTCAGTGGCTGCAGAAAACAATATGAAGTTCAACGATGAGAAATTTCAATTACTCAGATATGGTAAACATGAGGAAATTAAATCTTCATCAGAGTACAAAACAAATTCTGGCCACAAAATAGAGCGAAACACCAACGTCAAAGACCTGGGAGTGATTATGTCGGAGGATCTCACCTTCAAGGACCATAACATTGTATCAATCGCATCTGCTAGAAAAATGACAGGATGGATAATGAGAACCTTCAAAACTAGGGAGGCCAAGCCCATGATGACACTCTTCAGGTCACTTGTTCTATCTAGGCGGGAATATTGCTGCACTCTAACAGCACCTTTCAAGGCAGGTGAAAATTGCCGACCTAGAAAATGTACAGAGAACTTTCACGGCGCGCATAACGGAGATAAAACACCTCAATTACTGGGAGCGCTTGAGGTTTCTAAACCTGTATTCCCTGGAACGCAGGAGGGAGAGATACATGATTATATACACCTGGAAAATCCTAGAGGGACTAGTACCGAACTTGCACACGAAAATCACTCACTACGAAAGCAAAAGACTTGGCAGACGATGCACCATCCCCCCAATGAAAAGCAGGGGTGTCACTAGCACGTTAAGAGACCATACAATAAGTGTCAGGGGACCGAGACTGTTCAACTGCCCCCCAGCACACATAAGGGGGATTACCAACAGACCCCTGGCAGTCTTCAAGCTGGCACTGGACAAGCACCTAAAGGCAGTTCCTGATCAGCCGGGCTGTGGCTCGTACGTTGGTTTGCGTGCAGCCAGCAGCAACAGCCTGGTTGATCAGGCGCTGATCCACCAGGAGGCCTGGTCACAGACCGGGCCGCGGGGGCGTTGACCCCCGAAACTCTCTCCAGGTAAGGTCTCCAGAGAGGGAGAATGCAGTCAGCAGGATTCGAACCCACGCCCGTCAGGGATATCTGGCAAGATTCCCCCAAGTGACGCTCTACACCGAGTGGTGTACAGCGCCTTTCCTCTCGCCCTCCCTCTCACCTTCCCTCTCGCCCTCCTTCTCGCCCTCCAACTCGCCTCGCCTCTCACTTTCCTCCTCTCCCATGCCCTCTCGTCTTCCCTCTTCCCTTCCCTCCCTCTCGCCCTCTCTCTCACCCTCACCACACCAAGACCATTCTGGCCAACATTGAGCCATCCTTCTCACCTCCACGACCTTCCCGATAATACTGCTCCAGATACTGTTCGCCCTCATTAACCCTTCTCTCTCTCTCTCTCTCTCTCTCTCTCTCTCTCTCTCTCTCTTCTCTTCTCCTCCTCTCTCTCTCTCTCTCTCTCTCTCTCTCTCTCTCTCTCTCTTTTCAGAGGAGTAATGATAGAGAGCCATGTCCTCTTTCTCTCGCTTTCCCACTCCTGTCTCCTCTCCTCCCCTCCTTCACTCTCACTCCTCGCTCTCACTTCTCTCTCTCTCTCGTCTCGTTCTTTCACTCTCCTTCCCTCTCTCTCCTCTCCTCCCTCCTCGGCCTCTCCTTCCTCCCTCCTTCACGCCCCATCTTCCCTTGTACACCTTGTCTCGTTTCCCCTTGTTGATTTAGGATAGTTATCCCCTCCTTGGGCTGCCTCACTAATTTCCCACTTCCATCAGCATTCCCCGTTTTCTATAGCACCCTTCGTTTTCTTTACCTTCTGGCGGTGACTAAATTACGTCTGAGTTGACACTTGTTATTTATGTTATGTTATTTTTTTAGACGATGGACCAAAAGGGATTTAATTTTTATCTTTACGTAAGATATTAATATTTTTTTAGTAATAATATGTTTTAAGAAATTTTATGACAGAAGCTCTTGGACAGATAGACAGACACAATAGACAGACCAGGGAGTTACACACACTAGTAACAGACAAAAGATGGAGACAGTAAACGAAGATAGAGGAGAGAGTGACAGCCAAAGACAAGCAAACACGAACAGGAGGGAAGTATAAATATTGCCATTTACTGAGATCGCAGATGTAAATAGGAAAAACAGCCAAAGACGGACATAAACAAAGATAAGATAAATAGGTTACAGTGGCCAGAATAGTCGATAGACACGTACGGACACAGACGAGAAACACAGATATGTACAGAGATACAGACAGCCACGCATACATAGGCAGTTCTATAGGCAAAAAGTAGATATATGAAGACACTGTGTGACTGGAGCATTATGTGTATGTATACTTGTATGCATACTACGTGTATTACAGCACTATGTGTGTACGTATGTGTATACTTTCCTATTTGTACTTACCTATTATGGGTGCAGGAGTTGATTCACAACTCTTGGCCCCGCTTCTTCACTGGTCGGCACTAGGGTATGTGTGTATGTGTATGTGTGTGTGTGTGTGTACTACGTTCCCTGAAGTATTGCATGTGTGTGTATATATCACGTTCCCGAGAGAATCATGTGTATTCTGTTTTCTCCCTTGACCATTAACACAATGAGTCCGTCCCTCCCCAGACCCGCCCGGGCGGCCAGTCATCCATGGCTACAAGACAGGTGAAGTACTTCGCGCCGGGGAACGTCGAAGTCTCACCTGCCGTGTGGCAGGCGGCAACCCACGCCCCTGGGTCACCTGGTACTGGTATGGCCTTCCCCTCAACCACACGGCCAAGAGCAAGAGCAGGAAGAGCGTGCACCTCAAGTCCAAAGCCACCAGCAAGCGAGGCAAGAAGACCAAAGGAGTGAGCGTCACCCAGCAGGTGACCGCCTCGCGTACTGAAGATGGAGCCGTGTATGAGTGTCGTGTCTCCAGCGACCTACTCCCGCGACCCCTCACCACAAATGTCACCCTCACGGTGCATTGTAAGTTGCTCTCATCACACTTCAAGGTGCCCTTCTCTACTTTTTAGTCCTCTCTTTGCGTACATTTCTTCAACAACATTCTAAAATGTCCTCTCGTCATTTACACTGTGGTCAGCGCGAGGGTCTCAGAGTGTCGCTAGATGTAAGGACAATGTTTACCTCCCAGCTTAAAATATTGGACCATGAGAATACATATTTCTCTAAACGCTGTCACAGTACCGATACTGACCCTCTCCTTGGTTCTACTGGTCACTGTAAAACTCTGCTCTACGCTTACTCAATGGACTGTCTCGGTGGGAAACGGCATATGCAATGAAATAATGTTTTAACACCTTTTTCTATATTTTTTTTTTTTGGGGGGGGGATATTTCACATATTTTTTAAAAAAATCTTATGAAAAAGTCCTTAAGATTATATATATTATTAATTCATATTTTGACGCTTCAGAGTAGTTAGGGCATTTTCTAGCATACTTCAGTTTTTAGCTGTTTATACATATATATATATATAATATATATATATATATATATATATATATATATATATATATATATATATATATATATATATATATATATATATATATAATATATATATATATATATATATATATATATATATATATATATATATATAATATATATATATTATATATATATATATATATGTAATATATATATTATATATATATATATATATATATATATATATATATATATATATATATGTATATATATATATTTATATATATATATATATATATAGTATATATATATATATATATGTATATATATATATATGTATATATATATGTATATATGTATATATTTAACATATATTTAACAAGTCGGCCGTCTCTCCCACCGAGGTAGGGCGACCCATTTATGAAGGGATTCAGGGAAACCGGCAGGCCGGACTTGAGTCCTGGAGATGGGAAGTACAGTGCCTGCACTCTGAAGGAGGGGTGTTAATGTTGCAGTTTAAAAACTGTAGTGTAAAGCACCCTTCTGGCAAGACAGTGATGGAGTGAATGATGGTGAAAGTTTTTCTTTTTCGGGCCACCCTGCCTTGGTGGGAATCGGCCAGTGTGATAATAATAATATATATATATATAATATAATATATATATATATATATATATATATATATATATATATATATATATATATATATATATTATACATAATGTGTGTGTGTATATATGTGTGTGTGTTTGAATCTATTGAGTGTTGTCCCCGCTTGTACAGCCTTGTTTGGTTTGTATTTCATGAGACTCTGAATTCGTGTGTTACTCAGTGCAATGAGTGATGGGGACTCTCTCTCTCTCTCTCTCTCTCTCTCTCTCTCTCTCTCTCTCTCTCTCTCTCTCTCTCTCTCGTTTCAACGAGGCAGTTTACTGTGTCTTTGTGACACGTTAACGAGCACGAGAAAGTGTGTTGACAATTCTTGTCCAAAGTTTCCTATTGCCACGTCCTGGACCCACCACATGGGAGGCGTTGTTTCTCACGACGTGGTTCTACAGGACACGCTCTCTCTCTCTCTCTCTCTCTCTCTCTCTCTCTCTCTCTCTCTCTCTCTCTCTCTCTCTCTCCTCTCTCTCTCTCTCTCTCTCTCTCTCTCCAAGCAGTTCAGTTTCTTGCTTACCTAGTCACAATACATAGCCCCAATCTCCCTAAATCATTCAGGTGCCTCTGAATAAATTGAACATCTCGCACCTGAAAAAGGCTGTCATATCTAGGACCAACAGTGAAGCATATGTCAAAAATGGTGATCCCATTCACTGTTAATCCTAGAGGAGGATCACGGAGGACAATCATGGAGGAAGATCTCTCCTCCATGGAGGAAAGCATCTTAACCATTTGTTGTTCCCCTCCTCCATCCTCGGTTCTCTTGTTTAAAGTCATTTTTTTAAGCAGATGTGTCTTCCAATATAAATTTACCAATAAAAATTTACCAGTAAATTCACCCTTATATTGAAATAAAATTTACAATGATTCCAAATTACGTATTCAGTCAAATTATTATTATTATTATTATTATTATTATTATTATTATTATTATTATTATTATTATTTTATTGCAATTTTTTATTTTATTATTATATATAAATTGGTTAGAGCTTCCCTATGAATATACTAAAATGTTTATCATCTTCTTGTACATAAGCCGAGAGATGTATATTAGTATATATATACTGAGCCATGTGTATTTCTCAGTGTATATGCACCAGGAGTGTGTATGTCAGATGTGTATTTTTCAGGTATTAATGTATTCTTAGGTGAATCGCGTTTCAACCTTAACCAATTTAATTCAAGTATCGTTCCTCTTCCCCCTTCACCTAGACGCCCCTGCACAGGTGAGGGTGAGCGGACCTACGGTAGTGGCAGCAGGGGAACACCTGACTCTCACCTGTGTCACCTCACCTTCCAACCCACCTGCAACCATCACCTGGACTGTGGATGGTAGGTGTCATAATATCAACGGTGCATAATACCGACAAGATGTAGTATTAGTTACAAGTGCAAGAACTGGGTTATCTGTTTTGTGTAGACGTTTCGCCAACCAGTGGCTTTGTCAGTATAACGCTGGCAAATAAATCAAGAGACTGAAGAGTTTGAAGATGAGGTAGTCAGTCCCTCAGCCTAGGAGCAGGTATTCAGAGCCGTATAGTCTTGATAACTCTATGGACTACAGGTGAGGATCAGAGAGCTGCCGCCTCCCCTCTAACATTTACCTCAGAATACACTTCACTACTGCTTCACAACACCGTGGCTGGGACGGTTCACAACTAACCAAAAACATCTCGGCTTGAACATTACACAACTAATCCTCAGTACAACAACTAAAACAGTTTCCAACTAACCCAGCATATCAGAGGTCAAGGTGATATACACCGAGAGGCTGTATATCTGTCAATGTATATCTATCAGTGTATATAGGCTAAAAGTTTACATAAATCTTTGCTTAATTGATCAAGGTATTCATGACTGGTGATGTGTAGGTGACATAGAGCTTAACTGAAGCCTCGTGTAGTAGATAGGCTTTAGACCTAATAAACTAACCAGTAGAGATGATCACAGGGTATATTTAACGAATATACCCTGTAAACACGATCATTTCTGTAATATTGCAAGCTCCTGAATATGTGTTGATTGAAACACGAAATGCCTAGAGCTATCATTCAACTCTCCATTGTGGTTGTTTTACGTATGTACCCATATTTTACGTCATGCCTTATTTTAGAATTAAAATAAAGTTTATAGGCGAACTGTAGTTTTCATGGCCAACATGCATTCGATAATATTCAAACCTAACTAGCAAGTCTAGGTGGCGGGTACCAGAACTCCTTGAGATTGCCATTATATGTGGCAGGTTGGTATAGCAACTGCTAGAGGACCGAAACAATGTAACGTGTGGGAAAAAAATGATGAACATTCCGGCATTATACTTTACAATGTAGTATATTACAGACTTTACCCCAGCAACATTTATGAAATCTCCAAACACGAAATTAAGTTACTTAGCGTATTACAAAACTAAGTAAGAATAACTCTGTAGTATATTCGTGGGGATGCGGCGCTAAAAGCGTAGGGGGTCATACGGATCCTAGGAAATGAGAGAAAGTCGGTTTTAACCCAAGGAAAGAAAGTGTAGCTCCAATCCCTAGGATCAACAACCCTTAATCAGCGTCAAAGTATCTTCCTTTCAGGGCTGTGATTCCCTCACATTTCAGCTGAACTTTCCTGATAATGTTGATTCTGTAACAATTCAACTGAACTTGCCCAATAAAAAAAAATAGAAATTAAAAACTTAATTTCGGTAAGCAAAAAATTTGCTAAGTATGTCTGTGATATAATTAATAATTTGCTCTTGAAGGGGCACAGGTAAACACCACTACGTCGACAGTGAGTAAAGATGAAGGTGGCGGGTGGGTAACCTCATCTCGGCTGACCCAGGAGGCGGCGAAGTCGAGTCAGGTCAGGCAGATGGTGGTCGTGTGCCTGGCTCATCACCTGGAGGCTGTGGAAGCCATCTCTCACACCCGCAGCATCACTCTCATCAGTGAGTTCCGACCCTTGCTTGTTTAATGGAAGCATGTAATGGAGGTCAATCCCAGCGTCTACTTGTTTCCACTCTGTATATTCGTCAGTCCGTCTTCTCTTACCGTTCGTCTCTTTAGTTGTCTTTGTTCACGTTCCCGTCATTGGGCTGATACGTCGATAATAACATAATTTGCTTTATTAAAATAGCCAACAGATAAACAAAGAAAAATACTGTAAGGTTGTACGCCCATCTTCCTTCTTCTCTTTCTCACAGGACCTCCAGGACCGCCGCGGGTGGAGATTCACTCCAAGGGACAGCTGGTGGCTGGAGACAGCCTGGAAGTGTCTTGCACCAGCGAAGGAGGACACCCTCCTCCACAGTTCAGGTCAGGACACTTCATCTTTTTCTTTCAAATTCTAATTATCTTCCTCTCTCTCTCTCTCTCTCTCTCTCTCTCTCTCTCTCTCTCTCTCTTTCTCTCTCTCCAGCTCGTTTTTTATCGTCTTTATCCTTCAGTACGTTATTTGTCACAAAAGGAATTGTGAGTTTTCCAGCAACTGTTGAGTCTATTTTTTTTTTTTTTTTTTTTTTGCAGTAGGCAAGAATAAAAGTTATAATTGTGGTTGGAACAATCCACAACTAGCTGTAGGTTCGATCCTCCGAACTCTAAGTGTCTGGACTCGGCTTTTGTTCCAGGTCCCCACAAATTGGAGATGAAACTAGACGGTGTTTCGGTCCGTGCTGGACTATTCTCAAGCCACCTTGAGAACAGCCCAGGATGGACAGAAATGTAATCGTAGATAACGTCGGCACTGAACAAAACCTTTCTAGTAACCTGCTGTTCCAGACGCCACCATTCCCTGTCTCGTATTCTGACCCCTTGCCTGCTGCAGGATACGCAAGGGTGAGGACCAGGAGCTGCCGGCAGAGACGCACACTAGCGAGAACGTGAGTCGTGCGCGGGCATCGTTCACCGCAGCGCCCGCGGATAATGGTGCTCGGGTTCACTGTGAGGTAATGAACCCGGCCACTAGCCTTCCTCTCCTCACCGACACCACCATTACCTTGCAATGTGAGTGCTGCCTCTCTTTCTCTATCTCTCTCTCTCTCTCTCTCTCTCTCTCCTCTCTCTCTCTCTCTCTCTCTGATGAGAAATAAATATAAGATTTACTGAGGACTTTTCGCCCATGAGGCTTCGTTCTCATCATAAACTTAAACACTTAAATCTATTCTCAATCAGAGAATATAGCGACTCTGAGATTATCTTATTTAAACCTTTGAGATACTAAGCAAATTTAACTCAGTCAAAAATTAAGAACTTTTTAAAGTGTAAAATTATACGGTAATCTTAAACAATGGTATTGAACTCAGTGAGCAAGATGTATAACACAAATCTGGGAAAAATATAGAGTTGCTAACCAAGTTATCTACCTACTTGGAGGGTCTACCTGGAGGGTCTACCTGGAGGGTCTACCTGGAGGGTATTCTGGGGGTCAACAGTCTCCTCTCTGAAAGTGTTAGTACAAAGACAAGTCAATCTTCTGAAAGTCTGTCGGATGAACACTTAGTAAACATAGGATTCAACTAAATACAGCAGTGACTAGATACAGTGTTGAAGTCTATTGTTTCACCATGACTCATCACTTCACCAGTCCCCGTCTTACCGCTGATCAGTTCTCTATATCCTGCCCTCAACTATCTAGCCATAAGAACAGGTAACTAAACTGTTGCTGAGACTCCTCTACAAATAGCCTCGATGTAGATTATAAGGCTCCTTGTTATCTGCCTTTCCCATTTACTCCCATGTACTCCTACTTCCTTTCATCCAATCTTTCCCTCCTGCAGTCGCTCCGTGGGAGGTGCTTGGGTCAGCGAACCCACACAGTGTGGAGGCAGGTCAGGTGGTCACGCTCAGCTGCGAGACTTCCAGCAGTGTGCCAGTCTCCATCGTCACCTGGCACACCCCAGCACACCTCCTAGGTGACCCTTCCGTCAGACACTCATCTGGCCTCTACGGCGGCATTGTCACCAGGTGAGTGGTGCCTACATCTCTCAGTAGGTGAGCCATCAGTTAGAAAGTCACCAGTCATGTATGGCACTTGCTAGTTGATCCCACCATCAGGCACTCACCTGGTCTCTACCACACACTGGCACTACGTAGGCATGACGCTGTATCACTTAGGCTGTGGTACCTGTTAGGCCGTCAAACTGAGGAAATAAATGTAAATATATCCAAACACAACTGAGTTTTAAACATAAAAGCATAACAAACACTGGCCATTATAAACCAACCTACATAGACACAATAAAACAACATATTATTATTATTATTATTATTATATGCTTCTTATATTTTATTTTTATTATTATTTTATTTATTTAGATAATTTTCTTCCACATAATCGAACAATCTCTCCCCTCACACACACACACACACACACACACACACACACACATGCTACATGAAACCTCAATATTCACGGGACGTCATCGTTGCCGTCGCATGGAAATGTTGCCGCCTCGGATTTGTTTTAGCGGCAGGTTAACCTGTGCCTTCAGTGTTGCTGGAATACATCACCACACAAACACGGTAGGTTAACCTGTGCCTTCAGTGTTGCTGGAATACATCACCACACAAACACGGTAGGTTAACCTGTGCTTTCAGTGTTGCTGGAATACATCACCACACAAACACGGTAGGTTAACCTGTGCCTCCAGTGTTGCTGGAATACATCACCACACAAACACGGTAGGTTAACCTGTGCCTCCAGTGTTGCTGGAATACATCACCACACAAACACGGTAGGTTAACCTGTGCCTTCAGTGTTACTGGAATACATCACCACACAAACACGGTAGGTTAACCTGTGCTTTCAGTGTTGCTGGAATACATCACCACACAAACACGGTAGGTTAACCTGTGCCTCCAGTGTTGCTGGAATACATCACCACACAAACACGGTAGGTTAACCTGTGCCTCCAGTGTTGCTGGAATACATCACCACACAAACACGGTAGGTTAACCTGTGCCTCCAGTGTTACTGGAATACATCACCAAACAAACACGGTAGGTTAACCTGTGCTTCCAGTGTTGCTGGAATACATCACGCAAATACGGTAAGTTAACCTGTGCTTCCAGTGTTGCTGGAATACATCACCACACAAACACGGTAGATTAACCTGTGCCTCCAGTGTTGCTGGAATACATCACCAAACAAACATGGTAGGTTAACCTGTGCCTCCAGTGTTGCTGGAATACATCACACAAATACGGTAAGTTAACCTGTGCTTCCAGTGTTGCTGGAATACATCACCACACAAACACGGTAGGTTAACCTGTGCCTCCAGTGTTGCTGGAATACATCACCACACAAACACGGTAGGTTAACCTGTGCTTCCAGTGTTGCTGGAATACATCACCACACAAACACGGTAGGTTAACCTGTGCCTCCAGTGTTGCTGGAATACATCACCACACAAACACGGTAGGTTAACCTGTGCCTCCAGTGTTACTGGAATACATCACCAAACAAGCACGGTAGGTTAACCTGTGCCTACAGTGTTGCTGGAATACATCACCACACAAACACGGTAGGTTAACCTGTGCCTCCAGTGTTGCTGGAATACATCACCACACAAACACGGTAGGTTAGCCTGTGCTTCCAGTGTTGCTGGAATACATCACACAAACACGGTAGGTTAACCTGTGCTTCCAGTGTTGCTGGAATACATCACCACACAAACACGGTAGGTTAACATGTGCTTCCAGTGTTGCTGGAATACATCACCACACAATCACGGTAGGTTAACCTGTGCTTCCAGTGTTGCTGGAATACATCACCACACAAACACGGTAGGTTAACCTGTGCTTCCAGTGTTGCTGGAATACATCACCACACAAACACGGTAGGTTAACCTGTGCTTCCAGTGTTGCTGGAATACATCACCACACAAACACGGTAGGTTAACCTGTGCTTCCAGTGTTGCTGGAATACATCACACAAGCACTGGAGATTGACTTGACTAGCAGAGAGAGACCAACCAGACCACCACCACTATTACTTCTACTACTACTACTACTACTACTAATGCTATTACTGCTACATCAACAATACCCAATACTCTCTTGGTTTTGTAGATGGAAGAATAGTTTCAAAGTGGCACACTGGAATGACTCCCTACGAAGCAGTGCAAAAATATCTATAATACAAAGAAAGGTTACAGTGCATACACTATAAGATAACTCAAAAAATAAAAGATCTGAGATCCTTCAGCACCTCTTCACTTACCAAAGAAACTTCCAGTAGACCATAGTCTTCGGCTGAACTGCCTTCAAGCCATGATACTGGGAAAGGGCTCTTGATCCAGGTAATTAGAGCTATCCCGCTAGTCCTTGGATAAAATCTGACTACCTCCTTTTGCCCAGAATTGTATATAACCATTGACATGTTCTTGTAGTCACCTCTTTGACCAGCCTGACTGTGATACCTACATCGGACTACGTGCTGTGAGTAACAGCCTGATGCTCAGGCTGTTGCTCACAGGCTGTTGCTCACTGGCTAATAGTCTCATCAGGGCCTGATGAGACCGTCAGCCAGTAGACGTGGTCTGAGATATGGTCGAGGAAGCGATGGTCCTCTGAGCCAACACTGGATGATATAGACCAGGCGAGCTACCATCTAGACCAGTATTCTCTAGACCCAAAACTCTCTTGACCTCTCAGCTTCCTGGAATAAAAGTAAATTAATTAAACTGAAAGTGGTTTAGAAATTTGCCTCTTTTCGTTCACTGCGACCTCAGGCGCAATTGTGTTGAGTTTCTGGAGAATGTAAACAAAAATCCCACTTAAGATTGGTAATTTTCAGGATGGTAGGAGTTCTTTGGGTGAGGTTTTTTTTCTGGCAATAGTTTTGTGTGTGTGTGTGTGTACTCACCAAGTTGCATATACCGACTGGTGCGTGCGGTGGTCGAGACACAGCTCAAAATCCGGTCTTGATCAAAATTTTTTGGACGCTACTCTCCCGTCCTCTGTTTTATTTTCTCTTAAATTTAAGCTCATTACACTTTTAAATTACCCTTAATTAAAAAAATACCCTCTAACGTCCTTAAATAATGGTTATAATTATGATCATAATATTTAAAGGCGTGGACCAGTACGCCAGAGGAAGGCTTCGGTCAGATGACCAAAAGCTTCAGTGGTGGGTTAATATATGACTAAGACCCGCGTCAGGAAACACTTGTCCTGTTTCCTGACAAATCTGAATTAACCTAACCTATCATCCTTGTATCTCATCCGTGTCTGTCCTGGATCAGCCTGCCTTCGTAAGCCCTGTAAATACCTTCCAATATTTCATACGTCGTTGTCATGTCCGGTTTCTCTCCTTGCTTCCAGCGTTATCAAATTTTGTTTTATGACTATTTCCGAATATCACAAACCTATCAACTCAGAGACAAATTTTGTTGAAAACGTCTAGACTTTTCTTGCCTTTGTGCTTCATCAGGTATGTGGCTGCCGCCTGGTGTTGCCTAGATCATGATGGACCTGACTTACGTTACTTATGTTGCGCTAAATATATTGTTCAAGTTCTTGAAGAGTATTCTGAGATATGTGAATTTCATTTACGCTGACGATGTTACCTGGTTAATGTGCTCTTCTGGTGATGTATTGGTGACGACTCTGACCCCAGAGTCCCTTCCTTACACACTGGTCTGGAGTTTTACGATTCACTCGCCAGGGGTTAAAGCCCCACCCGTTCCCTGGTTTGTTTGTAATCGTGTTATTATGATTTCGTGAGTGCCTTCCTAATTCTGTTTTTTGTCAGTTATGTCTCAGGCCTGAGAGAACTTCCCCGTCACCCTATTCTGTGTTATATATATATATATATATATATATATATATATATATATTATATATATATATATGTCGTGCCGAATAGGCAGAACTTGCGATCTTGGCTTAAATAGCAACGCTCATCTTGCCATATAGGACAAGTGAAAATTTGTGTATGCAATAATTTCGGCAAAATCATTCTGAACCTAACGAAAACAATATATTTAATTGTGTTTGTTTAGTAATAAATTATTGTAAACGTATCTAAAATATATTTAGTTGGGTTAGGCTAAAATAAATTGTTCTTGTTATAATAAGGTTAGGTAAGTTTTCTAAGATTCTTTTGGTGCAAAATTAAAAAAATTTACATTAACATTAATGAAAAATATATATCCTTAAACGTATAAGAGAAAATTTTAGAAAGGACTTAATTTTAAATGAGTTCTTGCTAATTGACCAGTTTTACATATTCGGCACGACATATATATATATATATATATATATATATATATATATATATTATATATATATATATATATATATATATATATATATATATATATATAATATATATATATATATATATTATTATAAGTGAGTACAAATAGGAAGCGCGTCTGTCTGGCGCTCAGCAGATAGAGGATCGAGCCTCCACCACGTCTTGCGCTGAATGACACACATGGGTTTAGCGCTTAATTAACATTAATTATTATTATTATTATTATTATTATTATTATTATTATTATTATTATTATTATTATTATTATTATATAGTGTCAAAGATATCCTGACAGTCTTGGAAGATGCAGTCTGCCCATCTTTCTCTTTTATGTAACTCTTGTGTGTCCCATGAGAGCTGAAGACTGCCTTCAAACATGCTCCATACATAGTGTATATACTGTATGTGTGTATGAGTTTCTTCACTCTTCAAGTGTAAGAGAATCTGCCTTGTATCAGCTAAATGCTGACAAAGTTTAGCCTCTCTCAAATAGCATGTCTCTCACGAGACTGGCAGACTAAGCACCGAGCCTTCAACTCCTTCCACAGTGACCCAAACGTGTTTAGCGCTTCACATACTGTATATTATAAATTGTCTTCCTCACATATATTATAAATTGTTGTCATTGTCTTCTTCCAACAAGGGAACGAGGTAGCAACTGGGACGTAAACAGTGTGACTGAAAGATGTGGAAACTTATTATTATTATTATTATTATTATTATTATTATTATTATTATTATTATTATTATTATTATTATTATTGGTCATCCACCACAATGAGTGATGGAGGTTCTATCCCTTCTGCTCATCACAAGGAAGATACCATCGTAATGTACTCACCGATCCACCCGGGTCATCTCTGCGTCGTCTGGAACCCTCCATCTCGGTGCTGAGGAACGCCATGTTGAACCCTCGATCTGGACGCAAGGGACCGCAACTTGAAGCCTCTCTTAAACCCTCCAATCCGGCGCTGAGAAGTCTTCTTTAGCAGTAAAGTTGGGCGTCGCGTTGGGTCCGGATAGTATTTTCTCTCCAATCCGGAACTTTGCCTGTCTCCTCTCGAATAAACACACCAGGAAAGATCGCGGGTGTGTTATATAAAAAAACGATGATGTCTTTTGGCAAGGAATGTGTCGGTTCTGCAGTGGATGGCGAGTGAGTGTGTACACGGGCTAGATAGATAGGTAGGTACGTGGGTGGTTAGGTAGGGTTGTCAGAACGGCTAGATCAAATCCATATATTAACACCAAATCACTATTGACATAGCCAGAATCTTTCACCACAAATGATCAAAAAACCATCTCTCTGATTCAGAGTAAAGGCTACGACAAAGCCACTTTGATACATACTAGAAAAATACATTAAGGTTACGTAATCTTGTGTAACAAAAATATAATCAGTTGACAGCCACCCAACTACTTACTACTTAGGTAGCCCACGTAAACCGCCAGGGCTAATTTATTTCATGCAGTAATTATATTTTTTCTGTATGTGTATAATCAGAAGTGTACATCATCATAGTTGGGTTACATTAAATAATAGTTGCAACTGGACGGGAGTGAAATGATGCTAATAATATTCAATTAGCAGGTCCGACAGCAAAAAAAAAAAAAATAATGCTGAATGGGTACATTTAGTAATGGAGATGATGATAGGTTAGAGAAGCTCCACCACACGTAGGAACTCGCCTCACATGGGTTCAAATCCCACCACACGTAAGGGCTCACCTCACATGGGTTCAGATCCCACCACACGTAAGGGCTCGCCTCACATGGGTTCAGATTCCACCACACGTAAGGACTCGCCTCACATGAGTTCAGATCCCACCACACGTAAGGACTCGCCTCACATGGGTTCAAATCCCACCTCTTCTGTTATTAGAGTTTTTAATATTTTAAGCCTATATCATTCTTACAAAAAAAAAAAGCTTAACAAGTCAATACGTATATTTCGAAATAGGAAATTCATTATACTTTCATAAACTGAAGCAACACAGTGGCCCGAAACGTCTTTCGAGTCTCAGCAGGCTGGTTCCCAGACAAAGTTGAGCTGGACGGAACTCCTTCAGGTCCAGCTACGTAAATAAAGCAGAGAACTTTATTTAATCATGAATTTATAATTTTTAAAGTTCCTTAATAAATTAGCTACACAAGCGAGATCTTTATAGAATAAATTAATATAGAATAGATTTATATTTAGGCCAAATTTCCGTCCGTGCTGTGCCTTGATAAAAGGCACGGACAAAGAGGGTAGTCAGACCAGGGAGTATTACACATGCGATAAGACACCCAGGCAGAAACGGTATATATACCTGGGGAGTCAGTTACCGTCTGGAGTTGTGACTGAGTGTAATACAAATGAACCTCATTCCAAGAGCATAGGAATGATGTGCGCACGAATCACTGAAACAGCCCATTCACTGTACTGAGGGTATCTATTCAGACTAAAATACCAAATATAACACGAGACAGTTAAAACTGTATGGTACCAAGATCATCAGATCTCCATTCGTTGATGTTTGACATCTAGGGACCAGAGGGCGGTGAGTATAATAGTACAAGCAATATGGCGTGGTATTCTTTATATGTAATCGATACATCGACTGGAGAATACGCTGTAGAAAGTTTCAGTACATACCAGGAGACAGTATATAGCTGTGCACTAGATTCCCAGTGTTTCTGCAGAAATACAGGGAATCTAGTGCTTTAGTGATTCATGTTTGAGATTCCGGAAAGACAGATTCGCGGGAAGGACTGTTAAGATATCTTGGAACAAGGGCACACTGAAATGAGTTTTCCTTCTCTCTCTCTCTCTCTCTCTCTCTCTCTCTCTCTCTCTCTCTCTCTCTCTCTCTCTCTCTCTCTCTCTCTCTCTCTCTCTCTCTCTCTCATCTCTTTCTTTCATAAATAATGGCCACTCACCTGAAGCATCATCCCTTCCCAGGTCAGAGGTCAAAGTGAAGGCAGAGGCTGAGGACAACGGGCGAGAGGTCACCTGCAAGGCTGAGAACGGTTTAGGCGTCACCGTCAGCGCTAACATCACCTTCGAAGTCCTCCGTAAGTGTTTGATGGATGTTTCTTCTCTCTGAGCCTTCCGTGAGTTCCGTTCATCCCCTCCCTTTCGATATCCTCCTTAAGTGGTTGCTGGATGTTTCTTCTTCTTCTTGGAACTTCTTTAAGTCATCTTCGATGTATTCCGTAAGTGTGCAAAGAACGTCTCTTTCCTGGATGTTCGTTGAGAAACTCTTGTGACTTCGACGTCTCCAGTTGCGTGTGTCTTCACTCCTTCACTCCTTCTGTTAAAGGGATTTTCTTAAGTATTTAGAAACCTGTTCACTTAATCTTTTTTGAGTGCTTGCAGTTTCCTGTTCATTGACTTTTCCTACGCCTTCCAAGTCTCCTATTCTTGGGATCTAATGAATCCTCCAGTTTTATTCTTCTTGTGTTCTCCTAGAGTCCATCGCGTCTCCTGTTACGTTATTCTACTCTCCGTCTTCCTCTCGTACGCGTTCTTACCGAGACCTCAACAACTTCTTTTATTCAGTATGACATTAAAATTGTTGTGTGGTAGTCCTCCTGCATTATTCTCAGTCGTTCGTGTCTCCCGTTAACAGTTCTTTTATGAGTCCTTCAATTTTCATATGGTACGTCCTTCTTGTTGTCACTGCATGCACAGGTTGTTGTATTGTACCAATCACGATATTGTGTCTGTTCTTAGCAAGGTATTAGTTATGCTGAAGATTTTTTTCTTTTTAAGTCGCGAGATTTTAGCTATGTTTGTATATTTTTTATCCGTCTCTGTCTACCTGCCTCTCTCTCTCTCTGTCACTGTCTGTGTCTGTCTGTCTCTGCCTGTCTGTGTCTGTCTGTCTCTGCCTGTCTGTGTCTATCTGTCTCTGTCTGTCTGTCTCTCTCTCTCTCTCTCTCTCTCTCTCTCTCTCTCTCTCTCTCTCTCTCTCTCTCTCTCTCTCTCTCCCTGCGTCCTGGCAGCTCGCTGGTCCAGGGAGGGATGGAAGACCCAGAGGCTCGTACGTCTCACATTTAAAAGCCGATTCCGCAGGAGTCATAATTTTCCCCGTTGTGTTGTCTGATCCCGCCCGCGGCTTCTTCCAATAGGAAGCGGAAACCTCTGATACAGCATTTCTCTCTCTCTCTTTCTCTCTTTCTCCTCTTCCATGCCCCCTCCTTTTTTTTATGTCTGTAGAAGAAGAGGAGACAATAGGGGGAAAAAAAAGAATCGAAGAGGAGATACGCGCGTTGTTGAGGAGAATTCTGGGGTTTGTTAGATAGAGGCTTTGTGACGTGATAAAGCTCTACGCTGAGTGAAACATGGCTTGCTAAAGCTCTACGCTGAGCGAAACATGGCTTGCTAAAGCTCTACGCTGAGCGAAACATGGTTTGTTAAAGCTCTGCACAAAGCAAAACAACTTGCTAAAGCTCTACACAGACCGAAACATGATACAATAAAGCTTTGCGCTGAGTGAAACGTTCTTCCAAATAGGAGTCAGCTTTACGTGTGTCCATCCTCTCAATGTATATATAATAAGATATACACACTTCTCGGTGTATCTTTTCTCTTTAGCATAGCTAATTTAAATTTAAAGTCTATCGACAATACGAGAGATATACAACTGTTAATATATACACCACTAAGTCTATATACACTTCTCAGTGTATATACACCTCATTTTGTGTATATATATATATATATATATATATATATATATATATATATATATATATATATATATATATATATATAATTAATAATTGAAATTGTTAATGGAACCCCTATCCAATTTTAGGTCAAATTTCACATAATTTTTTTTGTTTATGTTTGAGCTGTGTGGGAGAATGTAACTACAAAATAAAACAGAACGTTTAATTTTTTTATTCCTCGCAATACTGTGGCTGAGATGAGTTATGTTGTGTGTGTGTGTCTGTGTGTGTGTGTGTCTGTGTGTGTGTGTGTGTGTGTGTGTACTCGTAGTTGTGGTTACAGGGTTCGAGTCATAGCTCCTGGCCCCGTGTGTGTGTGTGTGTTATGCGTATATATTACAACCCAGGTTTCCAAATGGCCTGTTATCCTGGGTGTAAAGGGAGCAAAATAAACACAGCAGAAAAAGTTTAGACTTATATTATCCTTCACCAATTTAGAACAGCAATATGTACACTATGTACATATAGTGCACTCCACGGTAAGCAATGCAGAATAGAAGCCACAAGACAGCAGACCGTGCTTCAACCAGCTCTAGAATGGGAATGACAAGGGCAGACAGGAGAGTGGTACCCACATAACCTCTGCGATTGCCAAAACCATCTTCTTATTGGCTGGTAACCTGGTCACTAGTTGAACGATGGGGCCCCATCATCAACTCTCAGTAACTTGGTTCGCTGGTTGGGGGAGATAGCCTGTAAATGAGGGTGTGTACATGCGCCGAATAAAGGTTACGTACTCTTTACATGCCACAGTATGTGTGTGTGTACTTACCTATTTATACTTACCCATTTTTGGTTGCAGGGGTCGATTCACAGCTCTTTGCCCCGTCTCTTCCCTGGTCGCTACTAGGTCCACTCTCTCCCTGCTCCATAAGTTTTATCATACCTCATCTTAAAGCTGTGTATGGATCATGCCTCCACTACATCACTCTCCAGAATAATAACTTCATGACAACTTTATGACTGAAGAAATACTTCCTAACATCCCTCTGACTCGTCTGAATTTTCAACTTCCGGTTCTGACCCTTTGTTGTTGTGTCTCATCTCTGGAACATTGTCCCTCTTCTCCTTATCAATTCCTCTCAGTATTTTACATGTCATTATCATGTCGTCCCTATCTCTCCTGTCCTCCAGTGTCGTCAGGTAGATTTTCCTTAGCCTCTCCACTCCGGGACTAGTCTTGTTGTAAACCTTTATACTCTCTAATTTCTTGACGTGCTCGAGGTGTGGGTTCCATACTGGTGCTGTATACTCCAGTATGGGCCTGACGTACACAGTGTACAGAGTCTTGAACGATTCCTTACTCAGGTGTCGGAACACCCATATGCTGCAGCAGTTATCTGGTTGATATGCACCTCAGTAGACGTGTGGGTGTTTGCGTGCGTGTGTGTACGTGTGTGTGTTTACGTGTTTGTGTGTGTGTTTGTGGACTCACCTATACTCACATGTACTGCTCGTCTGTACAGTTCTGATTGTACTTTCTTGCGTGTACACACTTGCACTCACTCGTACTCACCTGATTGTTCTCACCTGCACTCATTTGCACTCATCTGGCTGTACTCACCTGTAATGATCTATGCACCGGTTATTGCGATATGACCTTATATTATTATTATTATTATTATTATTATTATTATTATTATTATTATTATTATTATTATCATATCATTATTATTGTTTTATTAATATTTTTTATAATTATTAGTGTTATTATTTGATTAAGAACTAAACCCGTGTGGGGTCATTAAGCGCAAGAAGCGTTGGTGACTCGATCCAGCATCCGCTAACCTCGCATCCAGCAACGGGCTGGAAGTTTCTTTTGATCACTCGACTGACGTTACATCTCCCATGTCAGATCATCTTCCAGACACTGTCACCCTTAAGTACCAGCGCTAATGGTTGCCCGTCTTGCTGTGTAATAGCTGCCTTCCCACGGTCCATGATTAAGCGGGTTTCCGCTTCACCCACAATGAAGTGGGTTCCACCTCACCCATGATCTCCACCACAAAGGTAAGAGGAATGTCGAGCAATAAAAGCAGCGACCTCACCTCTGGAACTCAACCTATGTGTAGGAAAGATCCAGTAAGGTGACTCTCTCTCTCTCTCTCTCTCTCTCTCTCTCTCTCTCTCTCTCTCTCTCTCTCTCCTCTCTCTCTCTCTCTCTCTCTCTCTCTCTCTGTCCTGGTTAGGTGCTAGCTGACTCCTAGGTGCTTGACTCATAGGTGCTGGGTCCTAGGTGCTTGTCTGTTTCTAGGTGCTAGATCCTAGGTTGTGGCTCCTAGGTGCTGGAATCTAAATGCTGAATTCTAGGTTCTGGCTCCTGGGTGGTATCTTCTACATGCTGAGTCCTAGGTGCCTAGGTGTCTACATTCTGCTAGGTGAACAGGGGCAGCAGACACAAGGAGATTTACTTGACTTTTCCTCTCTGGCCCGCCCGGGTATTGAACCCTTTTCTTTTGGTTGTGCACTGGGAATTGCTTGATTTGTGTATAATCCTGTGTGTTGGTTGACTGACTTATTGATTGATTGATTGACTGGTTGGTTGATTGATTGACTGGTTGATTAATTGACTGATTAATTGGTTGATTGATTGATCTGTATTTGTCAGGTAATAAGTGTCAAGTATTTTGTTCTCTGTATTTCTGTTTACAATTTTAGTTCATATATTTTTTTCCAGGTGACTTTAATTCCTCTTCTTCCCTTTCTCTCCTTGTTTCTCCCACCTCCCCACACTTCTCTAGAAGGCAGCCAGCAGCATAACTAGACAAGATTCCCCAGAAGGCAGCCACAGTACGCCTGCCACAACATCCCCTAGCAGGCAACCATCAGTATGACTCCATAACTTTCCCTAGAAGGCAGCCGGTAGTATGCCTTCCACATCCCCCAGAAGGCAGTCACAGTATGCCTTCCACAACATCCCCCAGAAGGCAGTCAGCAGTATGACTTGCACAACATCCCCCAGAAGGCAGCCAGCAGTATGACTTGCACAACATTCCCCAGAAGGCAGCCAGCAGTATGACTTGCACAACATCCCCCAGAAGGCAGCCAGCAGTATGACTTGCACAACATCCCCCAGAAGGCAGCCAGCAGTATGACTTGCACAACATCCCCCAGAAGGCAGCCAGCAGTATACCTTCTCATCAGCTCTGGTCTTGGCTACAATGGCTTTCCGAATATTACATGTTACTCACCGTACGTGTGAGAGAAATTTCGTTGTTACTGCAAATGAATGTTGAATGTTATAGTGCTAGTGCCGCCGCCGCCGCCGCCGCCGCCGCCGCCGCCGCCGCCACCCCGCCGCCGCCGCCGCCGCCGCCGCCGCGCCGCCGCCGCCGCGC